CTGACTCAATAATATGTGCCGACAAACTAACAAGAGCTTCCAACCCCAATGAGAAATATTTGTTTACTGCCTCTGATAAATGTCAAAATCACTTCATCTCTCATCTCATTGATTCATTCTGCGATAAAATGTAGAGGTTTATTGCTAATACCTCTCTTGTTGTCATTCTTGATGAGCCATAGAGTCCATGATGACTATGTAATTCGCCAAACAGATCTCTAAATATTGGTTGTGTCATATGAAACATGCTACTGAATCTTGTGATGTGTCCTTTTAGTAGCTCACCAACCCATTTATCTCCAATAAAAGTGGATGTCATGCAGGGATTTGGATCGACATTGGAGTTATAATATTTGTACAACAACATATTGTTGTCACAAATTTTCTTTTACCCTCTCTCTTTGTGAATTCATATTAAACAAATGCTCTGTTCAGATAATATATGTGATTCTGACAACGTTTAAAAATATCTAAAATTGAAAGAAAAAGCATGCAATTAGAAGATATAATTGCAAAATAACATATTGATTGTGCATATGAGAAAGAAAAAGTAATCCAAATCAGAAGTCTGCTGAACAACAAGAAAAAAAAACTAAAGTTGTACAACAACTACTCCACAAAATCAAGTGTCCAACTGTCGAAAAAAACATAAATAGTTGACCATACGGTCATGGGGCATCTTCATGAAGACCCATCCAGGGGTTGAGTCCTCCAGCAACTTCAAAGAGTTCAGATATAACGACATGTCCCCATAAACTTTGGGAGTTGCCTCTAGAACTCAGAGAAAGTCATCTACGGAGGTGTCATGTGAAGTCCTTGGCTCACTTGTGCTTGAATCCACCATTCTTGTAATTTGGTTTCTAATAAATGCAGCTCTTTTTTTTTCTCCACTCGAGGGCGCTTTGATCTGCATGTGGACTCCAGCTCATTTTGATTTGGGCTTGGTTCTTCATAAGAGCAAGCTACCTGTTCGGCCTCTAACTCCTTCAGTATGCTAGCAAAACCATACTCAGTTGGGGTGAAGACACGGCTGTATGTTGCCACAACATCACCGAACACACGGTCCAACTTCTCTTCGAAATAAGGGTCAATTCCATAAAAATTAAATTTATTGGTTGTCGACAATACCTGCATATGCGGGGAAGTTAATTTAAAAAGTTCATTAAGAGACATTACTGGAAAAAATACTTTTGTGTAATGAAATTTAAGTAATGAAAATTGTTACCTTCAATTTATCTGTCCACTATTCCTTCGAAAGCATTAATAGTCTGTTTGATTAGATCCCAACCCAAGTCTGTGGATTATCGTTTCAATTCCTTCCATAATTTCCAGTCATTCTTCAAGTTATTCGACTTGTTATAAAATTGCAACCTATCATAATCCCTTCCTATCATTTACTTGAACATCATCGTAGTATTTTGGTTGGCCTTATTTGCTAAAATAAGTGGTGGGCCTGTTTCTAGCCCAACCTTCTTTAGATAGAGGTTGCAAAATATGAGTTTGCCTTCCCTATCCCACATGGTTGATGAACGAGCTTCTTTGGACAACCATTGCTTTACTAGCACGAGAAAAGAAAACATTAATATTTGACAGCAACCACATCAAAATAATTAACCACCACAACCAGACAAGTGACAATCTGCATCCAACTAAAGGATATCAATGCACAGCCACCACAACCTATTTAGAGCCAGCAACCCAAGTCACAACAAACCACACCATAACTGCACAACCACAACACCCCACCCCACCATTTTTTTTAACCCACAACCAACTATGGGATATCAATGCACAACCAACACAACCCACAAAGAGCCACCACAAGTTAGAGCCATCACCCCAACCCACAACAGACCACATCATAGACACACAACCACAACACCCTAACATTGATTTTAACCCACAACTATGTGATATCAATACACAACCACCATAGTCATAGAGAGTCACAAAAAAGCCAGAGCCACTACCCCAACCCACAACAAATAACATCATAACCACACAACCACAACACCCCTCCGTTGCCTTTAACCTACAACCAACTACAAGATATCAATGCACAACCACCACAAGTCACAAAGAGCTACCACAAGCCAATCCCACCACCCAAACACACAACAAACCACTCCATAACCACATAAACACAACATCCCACCATTGCATTTAACCCACAACCACCTAACACCACCCCAACCCACAAGTACCACATAACCACACACCTCACAACACAAACCAGAGCCACCACACAATCACAATACCCCAACCATTTATCTTTCTCATATTGATATCTTGATACACACATTGATAAGAATATATATTTAGTGAGTACGTTTGAGCTCAATTAACATATCATAATTTTGGTAACACATTATGTATATAGAAGAGATAATCACCCACAATACAACCATCATAACCCACAACAACCAAATCATTAACTCTACTGAATTCACACAACCACTACAACCAATGACAGAGGTGCCACACAACTACCACAACACACCCAACCACCAAAACCCAGAGCCAAATCACAACACAACACCCTGATCCACATCACAACACTCCAACTCACATCACATCACATGCCATAACCACCACCCCAACCCACAACCCACTACCATCTTTGCCTTTAACCCACTAGTACCATACAACCATGCAACCTACATTAAAAGCCAGAGCCACCACACAACCACAACATCCTAACCCATATCACAACATAACCGCATATGCATAGCCAACCATCAAAACCTAGGGCCACCACATCACAACCACATATGCATTGAATTCACACAACCAACATAACCCATGATAGAGGCACCACACAACTACCACAACACACCCAACCAGCAAAACCCAGAGCCACATCACAACACAACACTCAAACCCACATCACAACACTCAAACCCACATCACAACACAAGCCACAACCACTTCCGCAACCCACATCAAACACCCCAACCCATAACCTGCTACCACCTTTCCCTTTAACCCACATTACCATACAACCACACAACCCACAACACAAGTCTAAGCCACCACACAACTAAAACACCCCAACCCATATCACAACACAACTACCTATGCATACCCAGCCGCTAAAACCCAGGATCACTACACCAGAGCGACATATGCACAACCAACCACCACAATCTACAACTCACAGCAGAGCTACAACGGTACCTCACACAACCATCGCATCCTATAACAAAGCCACCACAACTAACGACCACCTTACAACAAGCACAACCACCACAATATCCATAGTAAAGGGCATCACCCCAACAAAAAAAAAAATTCCACACCAATGCAAAACTACAAAGAGAACCACCATTAAAAAATCAAGCAAAAACCAGCAAGAGAACATTCGCAAAGAGAACAACCATTTGAAAACCATCAATTGAAAACCACCAGTTGAAAACCAATAAGAGAATAACCAATCAAAAGAACATAATCACGGAGACAAGTTTGAAGAGAATACTATGGAGAAGACCTGTTGCAAAAGAAGAGAGGGAAAGTCGGTCGCGAGAGATGGTTCAAAGGGAGAAGCTGACGCAATAGCGAGAGAAGTGAGGGGAAAATCGGTCTTGAGAGAGGGCTCAAGGGCAAGAGAAGAGAGTAGGGTAGTAAAAAATAAGCAACGGGGTAAAATAGGAAATGCAGGCAGCGAGGTGAAACCCGTGGTATGTGTTCCACGTAAATTATCCTAAACAACATCAAAACATGACAACCAACCAAAAAAATAAAAATAAAAGTGCAACTTCGACGTGCAGGAAACACAGACCCAAACATATCCTAAATCTGAAGCTGCCAAAGAGACACACCCAATGAATTGAGTGTAGTAGGAAGAAGAAAAATGTAAGAGAGGACATTAATGCAGTAAAATTGCAAAAACTTTATTCGTTAAATGAACACTATATTTATAAAACTAGGAATAGTTAAATAACACTTTGTACCCCTAGTAAAGCAGGTTCGACATGTGATATTTTGGGTAATATGCATTAATAAAGCAAAAAGCCTTAGAAGGTACCTGATCGGGTACTTAGACCGGGCGACTGCTATTTGTGGGTCGGGATACTAATCCGGGTGGATTGTTTCGTTTGCACGGTTCGTCAGACAGACCCTGTGGTAGGAGCCATGCGGAGAGTCTGATCGAAATACCATTCAGATGGGTCGGTGATTATCACTTGACATGGGGGTTGTATGTCGCCCTGCTGGTAGGAGTCGGACGAATCTGTGTGGACTTTTGGGCTAATCCTGGAGGGCCCTAGCCCACCACATCTTTTTTTTCTACCCGTCCATTGGACTTATTTGAGATTCATGTTGACATATTTTTTATGTACAACAATAATTGCTAAATTTACAAAATAACTCATTGAAATTAATAAATATGCACTCATTCTTCACTTAATGGGGAGAAGAAGAAGATATTGAGCTGACAATTAAAACTGAACTCTAAATTTCCCAACGACTGTCAACCACTAGTAACTAATTATTGCAGCCTCATACAACTATTGTTCTTGTAGCCAACTACAACTATTATAGCTCTAACCATGGTTTTGATAGCTTTATTGTGAACGTCATAACCATCAACTACAACTTCTACTCGCCAAATTATTACTATGAATCTATGATTATCATTTTCTATAATATGACTTTCCTTAATCCATGTGAAGAGCGAACATTTGCAAATTTCATTGTATAGTAAATTATTTTAATTGTGCTAAAAAAATAATATTTTTCACATTTGAGTTTTTTTGCCAAAAAAGTCTGGGTGACACTTCCCACGATTTTTCTTTTATGTTTGTGTGTTTTGGATATCAAAATTTGAGAGGAGGAAAGTAAATACATAACAATTGGATGCCATGAACGTAAACTTTCCAAAATTTTAGTAGGTAATTTCCATTCACCACACAATTATTATGTATTTACACATCTAACCCCCAAATCAGTGCGAAGCTCATTAGTATTTAATCCAAAATAACAAGTATAACGTGTAGGTTTGCTCTTCGTTCTTCTTCGTCATCCCCATTCCAACAATGGAGAGAGTCGCTCTACTTCGCTCATTATCCACCTGCTCCTCAGTCACCTACCGGAGGCTCCTCTTCCGAACAAAGGCCAGACCCCGCGCTTCCTCCTCTAACCTCCACAGGCATAAGCAGCAAATGCAGTTTCTCAATGGCTCTTCGGCCTGGCGGTGGCAGGCAACGACGACCCCTGTCCAATCGCTACGCCTCAGAAGGAACTTTTCCTTCTCTCCCAGCGCCGTATCAACTTCTTCCCAACCAGCAGCCCAAGGTAGGATTCTTTATGGTTGTTTGTACTTCTTTCCCGTTCCTAATAGTATAATTTTGTGGTTGAATAAGCCCTTTATCTTGAGTGCGGGGATTTAGGGATTTATTGCTTTTCCAACCCTTTGATTTTGTTATTTAAAGTTTTTTTTTTTTTTTTGGAGTCTTGATTTCTAGATTGGTTCGTTGATGGCTGTTTAGGAAAATTGTTGTCCGAAGCGTACTTTTAGGGGGTGTTCGGTAGCTCCCAATTAACATGATTTATCCATTGGATTCATGTTAAATCCGGATTTAATAAATCCAGCAATGGGGTGGATCCCGATTTACTAAATTCTACTAACTTTAAATCCTTCCTGCAGCCAAGCGCCCTAGGTATACATTTAGTTGGTTTATTACAGTTCAATGGAATTTTTGCTACTTCTCATCTAGAACTATGTAGATAGAAAAGAATATTTCATGAATTATGATTTTATTTTCACTCATTTTGTGTGCGAAAATGGAATCATTACCTTCGAGATATTTTGAAGGTGGCTACAGGATTTGAAATTGACATTGATGTCTAATTCTATTCAGTGAAATGATACGATTTAGTAAATTTATCATTTTTCAAAAGTTGTTTGAACCCTAATCAAACCACTGCCTTGCATTCATCGTTGCTGAGCACATATTAATTTATTTGGATTTGATCATATTAAGATGCAGGACATGAAATCTCTGAGAAGCACGGTTTTGAAAAGATATCTGAACAATTCATAAGTGAGTGCAAATCAAATGCCATTCTTTACAAGCATAAGAAAACTGGGGCAGAAGTAATATCAGTATCAAATGATGATGAAAATAAGGTTTTTGGCATAGTTTTTCGAACCCCTCCGTAAGTCTACATTCTAATTTCTCTTGTAGCTTTTTATAATTTGAATGTCTATTTTAGCATTTTTGTCCACCATTTTCCCCCTACATATTTTCTCTCTTCAGCCCTCTCATGCCTTCGTTTATATATTTCAGCATTTGCTGTTTATTTGATGCATCATTCACACCTAGCGCAAAGATAAACATTTTCTCCGTTAAACCGGAGTTTAAATTATTTGTTTCATAAATTGCAGGAAAGATTCTACAGGCATTCCTCACATACTTGAACATAGTGTACTGTGTGGATCTAAGAAATATCCTTTGAAAGAACCATTTGTTGAACTGTTGAAAGGCAGTCTGAATACGTTTTTAAATGCGTTCACCTATCCTGACCGAACTTGTTATCCAGTTGCTTCGACGAACACGAAGGTAACTCATGCTCTTAACTTCAAAAGATATTCGTGCTAAGTTTCTAATGATTTATGCTTTTCATGCTGACTTTTAGGATTTCTACAATCTGGTTGATGTGTACTTAGATGCTGTATTTTTTCCAAGATGTGTGGAGGATTTCCAGACATTTCAACAGGAGGGCTGGCATTATGAGCTTAATGACCCCGCCGAAGAAATGTCTTTCAAAGGTTTTACATAGTTTCTGTACGATGCAGCTTAATTATCCTAACACCTAGATTTACCAATGAACTTACTAGATTGAGTTTACCAATGAACTTACTAGATTGAGTTACATATTTGTCAGAGTTACATACACGGCACTCAGTTCTTATGTATTCACACATCTAACATCTAAACTTCAATTTTTACATACGCATCACATTAGAATCTTACATATGCATGAAAACTGTGTATTGCACTTTTTAACTTTAAAATGATGATATTTTAAAGGGATGACAAATTAGGTTTGCGGGTCGGGCTCAAGTTTGACTCGAAATTGGCCCTAACTGAAACTGCTTGATCCGAATATTAAACAAGTAAAAAAGTTTAACTTGTGTTGACTCGCCTTCAACCCGTCAACCCGAACTTGACCCATATTACCTGTCATAAGATATAACATCTATTCGGGTCAATATCTGCTCAATTTCGAGTTAACATGTTGATTTCAAATTAATTATGAGTTAGCATTTCGGGTACATTTTTAACACCCCTAATCTTTTTGATTTGATATGAAAAATGTGGGTGGTATAATTGTAAAATGTAAAATTTAGGTGTTAGATATGTAAAATCATAAGAATTGAGTGGTATGTATGTAAATGCCCATGTATATTTTTGTGTGCAACCTATTTTAAGCAATAAACCATCTAGAGTGGCTCTTTGATTCTTTTATTTTGGCCAATTTAGTAATCTGTTCCTTGGTTTTTGTTTTTATAATCTAGTTTTGTAGAACACAAAAAGGGGCACTTTTAGTAAACTCTAAATGCACAAGAGGTTTTAGAAGAGCGGATTCAATTACCATTATGCTCAAATTTTTTCTATATTTTCTTATCAAGCTCAACTTGAACTTTATCTGATTCTTAAAATCATGCTCCAGGTTGTCTACTGAATTATTTATTGAGTTCATGCTATGATTTTACCTAGTAGAACATATGGCATGACTAATAGTTGAACTTATAACTTCTATACCTATCACAAACATATTCATGGTTATTAATTAGAAATTTACTAATACCGGAGTTAACAAAAATCATAATGGAAAAAACAATAATTATTACTCGAAGCGAATGAACGGTTACGAGATCACAATGAAAAGTAAACACATTAACGAACACATCACAAACACAACAAGGGTTGTATTGGGTTGATTGTGGACTGACAACTTGAAGCGTAGAGAGAGGGGCAGTGAAACAACATTCATGAGAGGGACATCGAGTTGGACTAGCAGGCGGAGGACAGTGGGATGGAAGAAACATGTGTTTGATTGGGAGGAGGCAGGTGGTCGACATGTTTCAAAACATGTGGCTGGAAGTTTGGGGGAAACAGGTGGTTGGTAGGGGGATTTGGTGGCCTGTTGAAAGGAGGAAGACTATGAACAGGTTAAGGTTGGATGAGAAAGCCTGCGACTGGATGGGAAACTTGTGGTTGGATGTAGGGGTGTCAATTTGGGTCGGAGGGACGGGATTGGGTCCGACCCGAAAATGATTTGATCTGAATTTGGTCAACCCGAACTCCACGTGAATAATAAACATGTTGAATTTTCTTATCCGAATCCGACTTAAAAAATATTCGGATCAACCCGAACACCCAGATTTTGCAAGTCGAGTTCGAGCCGTGTTGGTGCGTCGGGTTAATTTTTGACATTTTGGTATGTTAATTTGTGTCGGCTGGTTGGGTTCCGACCAAAAAATGACCCTACCCGGATTAGGTAAACCAAAACCTGACCCGAATAATAGTGGGTCTAATTCTTTGACCCTAACTTGATTTGAAAAAAAATTTTAGTCAACCCAAACTTGGTTTTCAAGTCAAGTTCTAGTCGTGTTGGTTTGTCGGGTTAATTTTTGACACCCTTAGCTGGATGAGAAGGCTTGTGGCTTGAGGGGGAAACTTGCGACTGGATAAGGGAAATAGGGAGCAGGTTGCGACAAATAAATATCACCTCGGACGATTTACAACCGGATCACTTTTTCGCTTTGAATTCAACCCTTGAATGGAATCTGGACATCGACAACTGTCCTGGCAGAACCTTGAAAGCAAAACTGACATAGAACACACAAAATAACATGTAAATACGATTAGACGACAAAGGAGTGACTCACTCTTTTTAGGCGACAACTCCTAATCCTAAGGAGATTGGTCGAATCTTATCTTTTCCAACTATATCAGTCTAATTGGCCTTAGATCTTTCCCGTGGCCGGTCCAACTTTCACGACCACATCAATCTCTTAGGGTTGGGGGCGCTTCGATCTCATTTGTTGAAGTTTCCGTAATATCATATTATGAAGTCAAATCGACCATGTTGAAAGTAGTAGAGATGTTGTAATCCCTTGGTAAATCGATCCTGTCAAATTCTTGATGATTCTGAAAGGTCTGTCTGCTTTAGGCCTGAGTTTCCCGAACGATAATGGGGAAATCTCTCTTTCTTCAGTTTGATCTACACTAAATCTTTCTCATGGAAGATCACATACTTCTTGGATTTATTAGCTTGCGTTTGGTAGTTGTGATTCTGTTTAACGATCTCTTTCCCAACATTCCCACTAATCTCCGACATAGAAAAAACTTGTATTAACTCAAGCAGAATGAGTATATTGTATTCATGTGTAATCTGAAAATGTGTGTCTTGTAGTCTGGCTCACAGACCTGTTGTAGGCATATTCAGCCTGACTTGGGAGGAACTGCTTCCTATTCACAACTTTTGTTCGATTGTCTGTCTGCGGATGAGCTGCCCAATTGAATTGAAGTTTGGTACCAAGCTTTCCACATTGGGTTTTTCAGAAGTGACTCAAAAACTTGGCGTCCCCATCATATGTAATTTTCAGAGGTATTCCGCGCAACCTCACAATCTCCCTAAAGTACAAACCAGTAATATGGGACGAGTCCAATGTCCCGTGGCATGACACAGAATGAGTCATCTTAAATAATCGGTCAACCAAGGCCATCACCGAATTCTTGTTTTGCTGCGTCCGTGGAAGACCCACCATAAAATCCATACGGACGTCTGTCCAAGGGGCATCTTGTATTGGTAACAGCGTGGATTATCATGTATTTTCCTCTTAGGTCTTAACTTAGAGACAAACTTTGCACTGTCAGACGCATCTCTCTCTATTTCTTGTTAGTCGTGGCAAAGGCTAAAATTTCAAATTAAATTTTTATTTTTTTTAGATTGGTATTAAAAAAATATGAAAAATTTACAAAGTCGTCACATCCGCGGTTGAGTATATTTTTTTTTAACACTGCAATAGCTGAAAAAGCAAGTTGGAGATGTTGACAACACAATGCAAGCTTAGTCGAAGCTGTTTAATTGCTATTTCCATTTTTTGAATCCTTTTTTTATTTTTTTAATAATTAAGTTAAATTTTAAAAATAATTCTCTAACTCATATCATTTTTGTTGTGTACTCATTGATTTTAGACCAATTAAAATATTTTATTGAACTTAAAGGACAATCGATCATCTGTGTTTATACTACGTTGCATTTTTTTTTTATTTTGAGACTTAAATAGCAAACTTTTATTGATTAATATTACTTGTAAATTATGCTTAATGTGATATATTTTATGGTTAAGTAATGTATAATAAATAATAAAATAGGCATTTACTTAAGTACAATACCTTTCTTTTATTCGATTTTTTTTTTTAAATAAATTGCTCACTTTATAGGATCGCTACATTAAAAGAAAAACTTCTTTGAATTGTTTTAAGCAAATTTTTTTAACATGCTGTTTTAAGAATTTTCCCTAATAAATTTAAATGTCAAATTCTAAATGTTTGATATTTAAACCCATGAAAATTGTGTAGTATGTATGTAAATTTCACATCATAATAATTTATTTAATATGCAATTTAACCACCAAATTTTTATCTTTTCTTTCTGTTTAAAATTAGTTAGTGGGTATAGTTTATTGGCTTGTTTAAAATTAATTCAGCTACGGAGATCTAGAAGCTTGGTCCAGTGGTGCATGCAGGCGGGTCGAGTTTTGCTTGAGACATCCATTGCTTCGATGTGGATGAGCGCTGCCCTGCCTTGACATTTTTGAAGAAGTTGCGGGAGGCATGGCGAGGTAGACCGACAGTTGGAAGTTTGGAAAGAGGTGTGGTGAAGCAACTGTTACGGGAGTGATATCGAGGTGGGCCTGCGGGTGGAAGATGCAAGTGTTCGGCTGGAAGGGACAATATGGATTGATTGCGACTGTATAGAAGGCAGGTCTTGCGGGTTGGAGCAAATAGGTGGTTGGAAAGTTAGGGGAAATAGGCGATTGGAAGGGGGAGCTGTTGGCTAGCTGGAAGGGGAAAGACTAGAAGCAGGCTGCAGCTGGATGGAGAAACGTGCTGCTGGATGGGAAGGCCTGCGGCTGAAGGGTGAAACATGCAACTAAATGGGGAAGCAGGGAGCAAATTTGGACAAATAAATATCACTTCAGACGAGTTATGGCCGGAGTACTGCTCTACCTCAGGGATTAGCACTATTTATATAAGTCCTGGTAGAGGCATCGAAAACTTGATTTGCTTCCTAACAAATAGGTTGAGTTTTTAAAATTAGGTATTATTACTCATTGGGTTTCTCACGTAAGGATACATATCGTTTCAATAATATAGGGCTCTATTAAGTCCAGATTGTCGATCTCACAGAGGACGACGTAACGAGTCTAATAAGAAAAGTTCTAGCCCTCTACACTAAGGTCTCGGTTTGGAATATCGATTAAGGTTGGTTTTTCTAACAACTACTTCTAAGTTGAGCTAAGTTAAACCTATCTAGATCAATTGGGTTGATGAATATCAAGATATAAAAGCTACCTTAATCTTGTGATTGTATAAGTAAATTGTAGGATCGAATATTATGAATTTCTAATGTATCTATTGACAAATAGAAACATTCTTCTTCTTTACCCTCTGTCGAGTGCATAAAAAAGTTTGATTAACCTAGTATTAATTCATTAAACCCTAGATTATATTGCTTACGACTCTAGCCTGTCACCCTAGAGCCTCCAATTTATACCCTCAATATGGTTAACCTAGCTTTAATTCATTAACCACTATATCAAATTGGTTAGGATTCTAGTCCGTCATTCTAGAGTCTCCAATTTACAAAGCCTATTTCTCTATCTATTTGCATTTCTCTATGAAATACTTTTTCTTCACCCACTAGTATATGTGGTTTTTACTAGTTGAATGAAGCTATAGCTCTCTCGGATTTTATGGGTTCACAACAAAATTTAATAAACAAATTGATAAAATTAATAAATAAATTAAGCATGAAGTGAAAACCATCACATTGAAGTTTAAAGATCAATTCAATAAGCATTCTAACATTTTACACATTCAACTTATTCATCACAAAAGAAGGGTAGATGAATTCTACTCACAAAACATGTTTAACACGACAAAAATCTTCATTACATCAAAACAAATCCACCAAATATGTGTTTACAACAAAGCAAGTAAATAAAGAACACGATACTTAATTTTTTTCCTCTGAAAAAAGATGCAAATCCTTCCAACAAAACCTTCTACTGTTCATTGCAATGCTGATACAAATCCTTTACAAAATTGCACTTAAATTCCCTCTTCAATCTGTTATGAAAAGGTAAAAATCTACAATCACTACTCTTATCCATGACTTCTTGGCGTCCTTGAAGGATTCCCTTAACTTTGAAATGCCAAAAAGTGCTTTTCCAACCATCCAGATTCGTCAAATAACCCCTAGGTTTGTCCTAAAACCTCCCCGGGCAGTTATAGTGCCGTTTTTTCTGTTTTCTGGGAGAATATTTGGCATCTAGGCGCTCAGAAGTGGCCCATAGGTGCCCATAAGTGGCACCTAGGCGCCAGTATGCTGACAACCTACTGCTCCAATTGCCTCCGTTTCACTTCATTTCCGCTCCAATTCGATCCATATTTTCTACCTATTATACCTGCAAAAAAAACATGAAAATATTCATCTTTAAAGTGCAATTTCATTCAAAAATAGGTGCTAAATATAAAGGAAATTAAGCACGCTAAAAGACATATCAAACACCATCTTGCCTTTGAATACAACCCTTGAAGTGAACCTTGGACACCGACGACAGTTCTAACAAAAATTTGAAAGCAAATCTGATTTAGAAAACAAAAAATAACATCTAAACACTATTAGGCGATAAAAGAGTGGCCCACTCTTTTTGAGCTTGAACCCACTCTTTTTGAGCTTGAACTCCCAACCCTTAGAAGGCTGGTCGACCCTTCTGATTTCCAGATGGAGCGGTCCAATTGGCCTCAAATCCTTCCCATGGTCAGTCAAGCCTTCACTTTTGCATCATTTATGTTGTTCAATTAGTATGTTTTTTCAATATTTTTATATGCTAATATCGATGAAAATAAAATTTAATCATAATTTGATTATTATGAGTTTCCATAATACACATTTTTTTATTGGTATACTTCACTTCAATATAGTTTTTTACTTGAATATAGTTCGGTACAAAAAAAGTAAAATTGAGGAATTATATAAGCTAATGAAGAAGCGTCAAATGAGTATATTATCAAGTTCGTATTTATCTAATTTTTAGGCGGCAAATAAGCATTTCATCAGCATGAACAGACAAGTAGGGTAATGTCCAAGCTTGTTCAATTGGGATGTTGAACTTCTTAAATTGTTTTCAACCTAGTTTAATTAGCTGGCTAAATAAACATAAATAAGTCGTATTCTATTGAGCATCAAACTAGTTGGGATGCATATAATCTTTTCTTTTTTTTTTAAATTTTTCTTTATTTTTAAAAACATGCTTGTTTAATGTTTTTAATATATTTAATTTTTGTTTCTAAAATAAATAAATATATTTTAAAAGACATTTAAAATACTCAAAAACTGTTTTAAAAACTACACTATCTTAATCAAACATATCAAGCATACTTTGTTTCAAATCAAAATATAAATAATATAAATGAAAATAAAAAGTAGAAAATAAAATACAAAAGTGATTCTAAACGAGTCCTTCATAACAAGGGGGGCATTCTGAAATTGTTAAAATGCTATTCCATTTCAGGTGTTGTTTTCAATGAAATGAAAGGAGTATATTCTCAACCTGATAATATATTAGGCCGTGTCTCCCAGCAGGTAAGCTCTATATCGGAGACTTGTTCATTATTCTTATCTTTTTAATCCTGTTTTTCCAGTCATTTGCGACACATGTAAAAATTTGTTTTTTTCATGCCCCTTAAAATGCTTATAGATTTAAATAAGCTAGTTTATATTTTCTTTGGCTGAAGCATTTTTATTTTTATAGTGATATTTTATTTCTTGGCATTATATTTAGGGCACAATAAAAATGGTATGTTTAATCTAGTTGATGCTAAAGATCTTTGGCTTTTTCTCTCGTTTAAAGTTAATTTATTTAGCAATGTTTTTTTTTTTGTTACTTAAACGTACTGCTGGGAATGTGTGAATTAATTTTCCTTCTTTTGTCCTAAACCCCATTATAACAGCTATTGTATATAAGTAATTTTTCAGCTTAGTTAATTAATGATTGGGCAGTTCTGTTGGATGCTTTATCTATGGCGCCAAAAATATTTCGGGCATTTACATACATAGCACAGTATTCTCATTTTTCATGTTGTTTGAGGTAATGCCGGTGAACACCACAAAAATTAAAGCGCAGCAAACTAACTGTTCTCTTTTGTCATCTTAATTGGCGAAGTTTCTTGCCATCATTTTGCTGGTGAACTCTATATATTTTGTTTTTGTCTGTTTTAGACATCAAGTGAAATAGTTGTTGACATATAGTCTTGAAATTTCAGCTTTATAATGATAATAATCTTTTTTAGTTGTTATGAATACGATTAAAGGTGTTTTTGTAATTGTAAGAATCTTTTGGATGGTGAACTACCTTAATTCCTTATATGTTAACTTCTCCTGCAAGAATACTTGTTTGGTGTAAAAATTTATGTGAACTTAAGTTTTTTAATTTATTCTTAGGAAATCTTGATGTATCTGTTATAAAAATTAGTGCTTTTGCAGGCCCTTTTCCCAGAGAACACATATGGTGTAGATAGTGGCGGCGATCCAAAAGTCATTCCTAAACTCACATTTGAAGAATTCAAGGTTAGCATTGACATTATTTTTTTATGATTTTGCATGTCGGTCAACTTATTTATTTATTTTTAAAAATAATTTTTGAAATTTAATTTAATATAATAAGAGGAATATATTTTTTATTTTGAAAGTAGCGTGTTTTAATTTTTTTTAAAAAAATGAGACGAAATGGATATCATTTGTCTAATAGTTTGCATAATCGTGCCCAATACCGTGAATACTACACATTTCCAAAATGTGAGTGTATACCTCAACGATAGACCCAATTCTGCATACTAAGATATTTGTGACATCCGTTTGGTTTGCGAACTTTTTATGTGTGACTGACAAGTTTTCCTATTTAATACAAAGATTATATAGAGTTTATTTTATCTGTGTTCTAAATTCTCTATAGAGGCAAACCCCTATAGTTAATTATATCTCAAATGACGGGAGTCACTTCAAATGACGGGAGTCATTTGAGAAAACTCTAGATAACTTGTCTTCAAGATTTTAAGGTTTAAGTTTTTATGGTTGGATGTGGAAAAAAAGTGGGAGTGACTCAAATAGGAACAATTATTTTCAGGAGTCCAGAGAAAAGAAAATGTAGGGGATGTCACAGATCCTGAAGAGAACCCTCAGTGACTTTCCAAACTATTCTACTGTGTGACTGCATTTTAGAGATGATGTTATTCAATTGTTCAATCCTGCCAATGTTATTCAACAGTTATAATTTGAGACTTATATTTGCATAATATCTGATTGTATAAATAGCCCGCAGAGATGAAAGTTTACGTTATGTCACATGACAACCTCGGAACCTAAGGCGAGTTAGGACTTACGTTGCATAACATGATTGTACAGAAGCCTAAAGCGGGTGTGAGGATTTACGTCGTGCTGGGCGAGCTACCTCGAAGTCCTAAGGATTGTTATTTAGACTAGGAAAGAGATCGCTGAAAAAGTTCCTCTTGCTGCTCGGTCTGAGTTCCTCGCCACAGCGATGACTCTAAGGTTTAAGTATTAGAGATTGGTGGTTTGTATTTCACAGTTTTGATGTCAAAGTTTGGTTTTGTCTTGTTTTGTTTTGACTTAGCATGCAAAATAAACAAATTACAGGTAAACAAAAAGTACTTGAGAAGTAAAATGCAGTAAAGCAAAATGCTGTGGATAAACTATAAAAGCGTAGCTGGACACCTGCTACTGTTGCGTGATTAATATTGCCAGCATAGTATGATTTGCAACAGATTTAAATACACTTGCAAGAAAAATAAACAAAACAAGAAAACTCAGCACGAAAGTCAGAAAAATGAGTCGTAGAAATAACAAGCAAAAGAAACCCTTAGCCACATATGAAAGACCAGAGCTGGGTGTAAGACATTGGTAGAAGTGGGGGCTCAGAGCTGGACTGTTTGTTTCCCTATCTTGAACAAGAGTTACCATTCCGACAATCTACGGAGGGCAATCCTTAACCTCAATCAAGTGATTAGTCGTTGACCTTTATAAAATTTCATAGAAAAATTCTTTAATTTTGATGCAAAAGCCGTTATTTAAGTCTTTTATGCATAGTTCTTTTTAACGTGCAAAAGAGATTTTTGTTTTATTTTTGTAAATATTTTGTAAAGTCGTGTAGTCCACATGCTAGTCACTGTAATCGTGCTAGAACTACTGACAACCTAAGAGCGTTGGGGGCAACGATCTGGGGGCAACGATCCTTGGGGGCAACGATCCCACTAAGAATCGGCGAATAGTATCATCGATCATTTCCTCTCCCTTATTGAAGATCCTTGAGGTAGGAGATACTATTCTAATAATTCCACTTTGTATCCCTCGTTTAAGCACTCATAAACAATGTTGTCATTGCCCTCGCCACTTAGACCCTAAACTTATCCTAGTTCGTTGATTCATATGTGACATTAACAAATTTCCCCAATTGCCAGGAGGATTTGAGTGTAATATTCAAGCTCAAATCTCAGTGTATTGGGTTTCACTATCGATCAAGTAATGACAGAAATTTCACTATTGATTTAATTAAGGAAGCGTGAACCACGTCTTGGTGCATCTTCATGTTTAGTGTTTTAAGCAGTTTGTGAATCGGGGTCTAGTGTCTAGTTTCATTATTTATTCGAAAATTAGGTTGATGAACGCTCACCTAGGGTGTGCTTCTAAAATCTTGGAAGCCTACACTGAAAAATTAGGTGAATGAACTCTCACATTGGGTGTGTTCTTAAAATCTAGGAAGCCTACACTGAAAAATTAGGTAGATGAACTCTCAACTATGGTGTGCTCCTAAAATCTCGGCAGCATACACTGAGAATTAGGTGACGTAGGGTGTGCTTCTAAAATCTAGGAAACTTACACTGAGAATTAAGTGGATGGACTCTCACCTAGGGTGTGCTCCTAAAATCTAGAAAGCATACACTGAGAATTAGGTGGATGAACTCTCACCTAAGGTATGCTCCTAAAATCTAGGAAGCCTACACTTTAACTTGTGTTTAAAGTGATTTAAGGTGTTCTACCCTCAATCCCTCAATTAAGGTGTTCTAGCCTCAATTAAGTGTTTTTCAACGAATCCTCAAATATTTCTAAATGTTTTCCAAGTAATTAAATCAGAAATTTTCATTTTTTGACTTAACCATTTAACAAAAGTAACAAAACAAATGAAAAAAAAAGGTCGACCCACTTCTAAAACTAACAAAGCCAAGAAACGAAACAACAAGTGAATTGACCTAAAAAAATTAAGTTCTTTCAAAAAGTGTAATTAAATCGACCCCTGAGAAGAGTACTTGAATCTATTCCAAAAAAATGTTTTGATCGCCCTAATGTTCCACACTTCAGAGTAAAAAAAATAAAGCTGAAAAGCCACCAAATAAACTAAAAAAGTGCAGCCCAAAAGCCATGAAACGGAACCAAAAAGTACTACCCACAATGATACTTTCAAATAGCTCCAAACAATGGGCAATCGGTCCAAAATTTACTCCAAAATAACAAATACAAAAATCACAAATCAGACCAAAATCGGCAGCTGAAATGACTCCAAAAATAGTGAAAGTATCGAGTAAAGGCAGCCCCCAAACACTGGCCCATGCAACCTTTAATCCTTCCAAAATTACTGAAAAATTAGCACCAAACACGACATGCGAAACCACCAAAATAGCACAATTAAGGCTTTCAAAAAGAATCACAAATGTTCCCAAAGTATGTACGCTAATCGTTACACATGTGTTTGCATATCAAAACTCAATTTCAGTGAAATGCAATTACATGGACTTTGCATGCACATCAATCAATCCCTACATATTTACGATCCCATCACCCAAATTTTGATGTTTACATACCTACTACCTTGACTATGCATGAGAAAGTGCATTTCGTGTTTAAAGGTTGAAATCGTAGTAAGCTTTATGTGATATGAAAAATTCGGATGCCATAAACGTAATGAGTAGAGTTGAGGTGTTAGATATGTAAACAAGTAGGAGATAAGTTGCATGTATGTAAGAATTGAAGTTCGAGTGTTGGATACGTAAATATGTAAGGATTGAGTGTTACAAATTTGGAAATTTTCCTCTTGAATTTTAACATAATCATGAAGCAACATTAATGTCTCTGAGCTACTATTAACAAGCGCATCTCTTTCGTTCAATTTCTTCTATTCCGGTGACAAGAACAACAATCCGAATTATATGTAATGGATGACCCATAGATTAATGTCTTAATATAAACATAAGATCAATCCGACTACAAAACGTTATCTAACCATAAAAAATGATTAACATCCATAGGCTTAAGCCAGAAAAATATTTACTTCAAGTTCTCAATCACTCCTACCAACAATCTCAATAGTCCAAGCATGGAATGAAACCGGTATAAATAGTGCAAATGTAGATCATGCGAACAATTTTAACCTTGTTAAAAAAAAATTGGCTGAGCCACAAACCTTCTTATATATGCATACCAGTTATATATTAATCATACTATTGAATGAAAACAAATTTTGCTTGATGTTTCCTCTTTCTATGATATCCAAATTCAAACCGTCCTCCACAACCATAACCAAAAGTAGAGACATATAATCAATTGAACATAGAAAAGTACATTTCCAATAACCTTTTCCGTATTTTTTTTTCACAATAAAACCAACATCAGAGCTCAAATTTAAATAATCAAGAGCAATATTAATGGATAATGGAAGCTCATCAAACCAACCAAAGCAATTAGGATAAAGCTAATGGTGATGACGAGTTTAATCTGTATAAAGGAATGTGTAAACAACCAACTGATTGTTAGATTCTGGATAAGACTTACGAATAAGTGACAAACTTACCTTGAGACTGCAGCAGAGGATGCCGAAGGAGCTTTAGCGTCGGGTGCTATAGAGGAGGAAGACCTAGCTGGGAAGTGTGCAGGAGCAGTCTCGCACGAAGCATAAATAGATCCCTAACCGAACAAATGAAGGAAGAGGGAGGCAAACTCGAGCGATTCAGAGAGAGGGAGCAGGTGATTTTTTCGGTCACTTGGTGCTTCTGTCGCGAGGAATAGAGGAGTTGGGGGGAATGGAGCCAAGCAGGAGAGTCGCAGCAGACAAAAATCTTGGTCCCGAGAGAGGAGGCAAGCAGAGCTTCGAGAGAGAGAGAGAGCAGGTGAGTCGAACGACTGTTCGGTCTGGTGAGGAAGAGAGGAGGCGGAGGAGAACTGAACAGTTGTTCGGTCAGGGGAGGAGAAGCGAGCGGCGTTCTTCATCGCAAAGAAGAAGAAGCGAACTGGAGGGGGCAAAGGTTTCTGGGTGAGCTTTAAAGGAAGGCGAGGGTTTCGAGCGGGAGGGACGAAGCGGGCAAATGCGGTGCTTCTCTGTGAAGACGAATCGGGAGAGAAGGAGGCGACGGGCTTCAGTAGACGGGCTTCGGTGGCAGAGGGGAGATTCAGCTAGGGATTCATCGTGGGGAGGAGAAGAAGCGCAGTCAGCCGGAAGGAGCTGGATCGAGCGTGAGAGTGAGGAGTTGAATGAAGAGCCTCGAGTCTAGTTAGGGGGAAGAGTATATCGGAAATTCCATAGAGACGTTATGCGAGACTTTGGCTGGGAATTGAATGAATGCCGTTGATGAAGCAGGTTCAAAAGGAAATTTTTTAACTCTCAATTAAAATGAGATTAAATGACCCATTTGAAAATTTGAAATTTAAAATTATTTAACCTTGTTCAGTCCGAGTCCAGCCCAAATCAAACCTGAGTTGAACCTAGGTTGAGCCCGGGCCCGCGCCCCACTAATAAAAAAACTTGCATTGATTTTCGTGTCGCTTGTGCAAGTGCATAATCATAGTGACATGAGTCTCCTTCTTAGCTAAAGTCGACGCCCCAGACGCATCCTTGTAGTACATTTCGTCATCCGGAGTCGTCCGGGCGAGTTCATCGACGGTCGGGCCAAAAATGTGTTAAATTGTGGTGCCTGCGAGTGCTCGAGTCACGAAGGGTTTACCTAAGGCTGTCTGATCCTATGGGAACTCATTTTTGGGCCCTCTACATGTAAGTCCTTAGCCCTTGCAATTAAGAGTCGAGTGCTCGGGACTAGTCATGCGAGATCTGCACAAAAATGAGTCAAGATATGACTCGAAGTTCTATGGGAGGTGGGCTCCATTACTAGTCCACTAGGATGGTCAATAAGAAACTTCTTAAGAGAAACTTCTAAAGGTAGATCCTGGGTTCTAGGAGTAGGAGACTAAGACCTCACTAAAAATGAAGTCAACATTGCAATGAAATCGAGAGCTAGTTTGGCACATTTCCTTTAATACACTGGATGTTGGTGACAACTTGTTTTTTTTTTTTTTTGTTTGTTTTCCATATGATGAATTGATGCTTCCTAAGATAATGATGATTGTTCTTATTGATTAACAACCACTTTGGTTGATTTCTAAATACTATGATATATTAGTATTTAAACATTATGTAACCTAATACTAAAATCTTCGAAGTTTATTTCCATAGGTTCTATAAAACTTCATTTTCATTTTCTTTTGTCTAAAATGTTTAGGGTTAGGGTTATGCATGAGGTTTAGGTTGTGAGTCTTAAGTTTAGGATTTGTGAGAGATTTTCTACCTCTAGAATTGTAGAAATTGGGAGAGATCGCTTACTTCTCAGATTGTATGTGTTATTTTTGTATTTGTGTTCAATTTTTTTATATTTTTGCAATAAGGTATGTGTTTGCCATAATTTTTAAAGAAGATTCCTATCAAATGGTATCAAACCAAATTTGTCTTTCATCAGCCTACGAGCAATTGAGTGATACCGGAGTTAATCAAACAACAATGAAACATGACGTTATTACGAAGATCAAATAGGGTTTACAACTGATAATAACAGAAAGCAGGAAATAACGAAAGAAAGCACGAACTAGGGCTGGAATTGAGGTGTCGAGCGGGGCTGGCAAAGGTGGCTGCGGTTGGGGGAAAATAGGGGTGCAGTTGGAGGGCAGGAGGAAGGGGAGAAGGGCTGGGGTTTGGAGGGTACCAGTGATCGGGTAGACTGCAGTTTGGAGGACTGCAGGAAGAAAGGCGGCGGTTTGGTGGTAGGCTGGGGCAAGGGGGAACAAATGGGGTGCGGCAAGGGGAAACAAGTGGCACTGCGACAAAGGGGGAAAGGGGACTACGGCTGCAAGGCAACAAGGGGGTAAAGGTGGTTGCTGCTGGAAGACAACAAGCCCTATGAGCAATGTCTGGTCCTCCTACTCCCTCCCTAAACCAGCTAAGTCGGTTTAGGTGGACAGCCCCACGTCATTTAGTTTTTGTCATTTATTATGGTTTAGTATAAATATGACTAGTATGTTTAGGGTTAGGATTATGCATGAGATTATTGTTGGGGGTCTTAGGTTTAGGGTTTTGGTAGAGATTTTATAACTCTCTAATTTTAGGAATTGGGAGAGATCGCCCACCCCTCGAATTGTAGGTGCTTATTTTTGTATTGTGTTGAATGTTTGATATTTTTAGAATAACAAACACGTGTTTGCCCTACATTCTGTGGAAGAGTCTTATCAGGTAGGTTAAAGGGATTAAGTTAGGATATGGAACTGATACGATAATATATATATACATGAATCGAAAAAAAAAAAGCATATACAAAAGAGGGAAAAAAAAAACTAGAGTAAAGTTCACTTTTTTTAAATCAAGAAGTAACATAGTTATTGGGCTTTTAAGACTTTACAACTGAAAAAACGAGCTTCCTACACTAGAATCATGATACCGTGAGGATATCTTGGTATTAGGTTAAAGTGATCATGTTAGTACATGGACCTAGTATGATAGAATATAGACGGATGCAAATGGAAAAGAACCATCAGCTATAAAAGATGTATATATAATCCTATTGAGATCATAAAATATATATTTTATAACATATATCGTCTTGGTTTGTAACACATCTAACTAGTCATTTCTGAGATTTTAATTGGATATGCCTCATGGGTATTCATTGAGGGCAGTCCTGGAGCTAAATTAGGCTTCCCTAATTGTTTAGTTGGTTTGATTGGGCATGGAGATGATTGATGATTATTGCAGGAATTTCACCGAAAGTATTACCATCCAAGCAATGCCAGGATATGGTTCTATGGAGATGATGATCCAGAAGAACGGCTGCGTATTTTAAGTGGTATGCCAAAACTGAACTCATGCTTGTCTAACTTAGAGCATCCAGCTCTTTGGTACTTCAAACCTATGCATGAAATGTGTATTTCACTTTTAAAATATGGTGTTATTTTTTATGTGATATTAAAATTTTTACTGCTATGTGTGTAAATATGAAAGCTTAGGTGTGAGATATGTAAATGCATATATTTGCTAGTTTAAGTGGAAAATTTATAATATTCCATAGGGTGAATGAACTTCACAGGGTTATCTAAATGCATTGGTTGACACTGAAAAAATACTCCTAAAATTCGATCATAAAATGCATTTGAGCAATTCGATTCTTTGAATTCTAAGATTGTTCTTCATGGTTTCTTATGGTTTTATTGTGCTTTGTTAGCCAAGCTTATCTGGATAAAATATGATCAGTGCTATATTTCGGTCTCCACAATTCTTAAAGTCAGAGTTTGTTTCCACTGTTATGTTATCATTGTTTCTTTCGTATTTTTACTGAACCTTTTATAGTGCAGCTTACCTCGACCAGTTCAAAGCAAGTCCCACCTCTAATGAGTCAAGGGTTGAAGCGCAAAAGTTATTCAAAGAACCAGTAAGGATTGTTGAAAAATACCCTGCTGGCGAAGGTGGCGATCTTAAGAAGAAGCACATGGTTTGTGTAAACTGGTTGCTATCGGATGGTCCCTTGGACTTGGAAACTGAGCTCACCCTCGGTTTTTTGGATCATTTGTTGCTGGGAACACCAGCTTCGCCTTTGCGAAGAGTTCTACTTGAAAGTCGTTTAGGAGATGCCATCGTCGGTGGCGGAGTGGAAGATGAGTTGCTCCAACCACAATTTAGTGTCGGATTAAAAGGTGTCGCACAAGATGACATTAAAAAGGTCGAAGAGTTGATCGTAAACACACTTGAAAATCTGGTGAAGGATGGCTTTACTACTGAAGCAGTAGAGGCGTCAATGAATACCATTGAGTTTGCTCTGAGGGAAAATAACACGGGTTCCTTTCCACGAGGATTATCGTTGATGCTTCGCTCCGTTGTATGGAATTCTTGTACAGCCACCTTGGCAACTTTATAGCTCGTAATAAGGTTAGGAGAAAAGTGTCAAAATAGTTCCCTAACTCCTTGTAGTGGCGTCAACTTAGTCCCAATGTAAAAGTGCTATTTTAGTCCCTAGGATTTTTTAATATAAGCTGAAATAATATTCCGTCAGAATTATTTCAGCCCCAGTTTAAAGAATACGGTGACTAATTTGACATTTTTATAAACTCTGGAACTAAAATGATCTCATGTAATTAAGTCAGGGCACTATTTTGGCACTTTACTCATAAAACTAAGTGTATTTTACATTTTGTCGCCGTGTTGTTCTGCAGGGAAAATGGATATATGATAGGGATCCATTCGAACCACTAAAGTATGAGAAACCATTGCGGTCTTTGAAAGAACGCATAGCTAAAGAAGGTTCCAAAGCTGTCTTTTCTCCAATAATAGAACAGTACATATTGAACAACCCTCACCGTGTTACCATAGAAATGCAGGTGTGTAACTGAATTGGGACATATCTTGTTTATTTCTGATTTCTGATGAAGTTTTTCTATATACAGCCTGATCCAGAAAAAGCCTCTCGTGATGAAGCTGAGGAGAAAGAAATCCTTCAAAAGGTTAAGGAAAGCATGACAGAAGAGGATCTTGCTGAGTTAGCACGGGCTACGCAAGAACTTCGTCTAAAGCAAGAAACTCCAGATCCACCTGAAGCTTTAAGAACTGTTCCAAGTCTTTCATTGCAAGACATCCCTAAGAAGCCCACACACGTCCCAACAAATGTGACGCCTTTTCTATCTTTGATACTTAATTTTCATATAAAGTAGGAATACCTTGAGAACCATGAAATCTCTGAAATTCTTGTAGTAATGCTTCCGTGAATGTTGGATGTAATTTTACAAAATATTAATGTTGCATTCTTTCTAATTGTAGATTGGTGAGGTTAATGGAGTGCAAGTTTTGCATCATGACCTTTTTACAAATGACGTTGTTTATTCTGAAGTTGTTTTTGATATGTCTGCGGTGAAGAAAGAATTGCTCCAACTGATTCCGTTGTTCTGGTAAGCAGGTTTACCTTTTTTCTATGGCTATTTGTTTTTGTACAGTGCTCTGTTTCTGCTGTTTAGCACTTTTGTCTTGTCGGGTTCTAAGAGCTTGTTTGGGATCATTATTATTATTATTTTATTTTTTGCTTAAAAAAACATATTTATTTACTAGATCTTTTACTTTTTTTTTATTTTTTATTTTAAAAAATAAATTAGCTTGTTTTTCAAAACACTTAAATCATCTAAAAGTTATTTTGAGTGTTTTTGAAAACAACTGAACATGTTATAACATACCAATTATGTTTTATTTCAAATAAAACCATTAAAAAAAAAAAATACAAGAAACAAAAGTGATCCCAAGAAGCCCCTAAACTATGTGTTTATTTGGTGTTTGAATTAGTTATCTTAATGTTTTGTGCCAGTCAGTCTTTGTTAGAGATGGGTACAAAGGAAATGGATTTTGTCCAGCTTAATCAATTGATAGGAAGAAAAACTGGAGGCATTTCAGTTTATCCTTTCACTTCTTCGGTACGGGGAAAAGTGAATCCGTGCACTCGTATTATTGTACGAGGTAAAGCTATGTCTGGGAAAGTTGAGGATCTATTTAATCTGGTATGTGTATTTACTTCGTAAATAGTCTTATTTGTAAAATATTTTCTGTTGGCCGCACGGTGCTTTTTTTTTTTTTTTGAAGCTTTCTAATATATTCATTAAATGCTTTGTTATGGCATAATTTAGTTAAAATTCTTTATTTTATTCACCATTGATACCCTGCATACTAGGTATTTGAGCGCTGAGTGTTTTTCAACTTCATATAAAAAATCTTCATAAGGACATTTTTCATTGTATGGCTAAATATCCAATAGCTTTAATGGTTAATTGGCTGACATTTGTAAGCTGAATAAATGATGATTCATGTTATGGTTGGATTTTATGAAGGAGTTTTGAAGTACCAATCATATGCTTAGAAGCATCGATCTTTACAATTCAGGATGAAGAGAGTAGGGTAGTTATACCTTCAAGCTATAAGCAGACATGGCTTTAATTATAATTTGTTTCACTAAGGAGCAACTTTTGATTTGTCCATGATCGTTAAACTAATTGCCTGGGTATTAATTTTTGCTTGTGTAGAATTTGATTTTTGATTATGTGGTCATTTCAACACTCCTTAATTGCACAATTAGTATTAATATGCCTGTAATGCTTGCAAATGTAACATTATATCTGTTGCATGTTTTTTTCGTTATTCTTTCCAAGAGCTGTATTTGCAACAACATTCTGGCGGTGCTTGATGTTAAAATATAGGTGGTGTTGCAAGCTGTTGTCTCTTATCCGGAAATTTATTAAAGCACCTTTAAGGGCAATGATCTTCTTTGGCGTAATTAGCAATCTTTTATGCTAATTACAAATCTCTGGCTGCATTACCTTGATTGTTAGCTTTTTGTAAATATTTCTGCATATCTGTTGCCATTTTTTATGTCATTAGATTGACATCATTTGCCTGGTTCATAGATCCGAACATTCATACTTGTTATTTCTCCATTATGCTAATTTTGATTGTTTCAAAGGAGAAGAATCATTTCACAACGTCCTTATAATTATTTTCCTCTAACAAATAATTCAAGTTGAAATTCACTTGCAGAATAATTTTTACCATGAGTTGCATGCCAAAATATCCAAATTATTTATTTTTATATTTGATATATTTGCCATGATTAGAATGTCTTATCACAACGAGCAATAAATTGTTTGGAATGTGATGATTTACTGAGATTTAGGATGTTGCTATATACCTTGTAGTAGAGTTGAGCTGAATAATTGAAACCGAGAAAAACAAAGCTGTTCGCAAAAGCAAACGGATAATTTATTGCTATTGTAAGATCTAATGGGTGATCACTGAGAGATTAGTAGCTTGATTTTGGGTCGAACCATTGATCAGAATTGCACAAGGGAAGCCAAGTGGTTGATTTGGTCTCTCTCGCTAGGTTTGTTGGTTATTCTTGGTGGTTTCTGTATTCCTCTGAGGTAATCTTGTATCAAATAATAGTAGTTCTGTTTAATTTATGATGAGAATTTGGTTTTTTATGGTGTAAATATGTTGGCTCTAGCCCCGATTTGAGAAATTATCAATCCTTGAATCTTGGAGAGAGTGAGAGAAGCCAAATGGTTCACGGAAGATCAAAACCGAAACTAATCAATGCATAGAGATTATGGAATTAGCAAGCTTAATAAGAAGACTGCCTGATCGAAGAATGGAATCTGAATTGGTAAGTGTACTGAGGGTCTGACGACAAGTAGCAATGCTTGAATCCTTTTAGATCTTTAGTGAATCTTTTTTTAAAAAAGTTAAAATCCCTTATGAGATCTAAACGAAAAAGACAAAGGCTAAGAGCCCTTGCTTTGATACCATGACAAACAGTGAGAGGCAATGTTTGATGCTTGAATTTCTCGAGTTTATCCTAACATTTGACCCATGTTTATATAACCCTAGAAGAGTTAGTAGGAAATATATACAATCAGGTGCTTTATAATTAATTACAATAAATTAATGCATACGGATTGATAGGCTGGCATTCCTATGTGCATTGATCGATGAGGTGGCTAACCATAATTTATGCTGATTAATTGATATTAAATATGTTGATATCAATCTAACTAATATTTTTTATGTTGACATGGAATTTCAAACTCTACAAGTCCATAATTATAGTGCCATCTAAATTGTCCTTAATTTGGAATATTATGAGAGAACCAAATGTATTGAGGTTGGCCACAAAAATTTTCTATTGGGGAAGCATTTGATGTTCAGCTTGTCACTCTCTCACATAACTTTATAAATTTTCAAATCATAGACATGTATGAAGGCATCATCTATGCAGAAACATCAGTTTCTTGCAAATAAAACTATGCTTTTTGACAAACTAACATCAATTTGTGGGGAGATATTAATATAATAAATATTAATGCTTTAGCTGCCATATAGTTTATGAACATATTTAGACATTGCACGATACTTGCTCTTCGCAGATGATTTAGACACATGATCGTGTCTAATCTTCCATAAGATCAAAGAATCAATAAGAAAGATATATCATCTTGTGTGAGATTGATGATTTTCAAGACATTCAAACCTAATCTGCATCACTATATTCCTCCAATTGGAGATGAGAACCATAAAGAAAGAATGAATTATGACTTGGCGTCCCATTAATATATCAAATAGTTTGGTGAATAACAGAAATTGATTGTTGATTTGCAAAGAAAGAATCTAATCGAGTAATGGCTAAATACTTTAGAATACGGACCAATTGTTTATATGCAAAGAAAGTATCTCACTGTGAAAACTATTCACAGAAAACTTATTATGAAGGCTTGACAAAGTAATTTTCTTTGTATATATATGTTAGATTAGGAATTTAGGGTATGCATATTTCCAACTCGTGGGATAAAGGCTTGTTGTTTTTGTTATTGTTGTTCTATATATATGTTATTTTACAAATTTACTTGAGGAATTGATGTCTAATTCCAAATCTAATAACTATGTGAGGATCCCAAGATTTTTCATATGAAATATGACACGAAGGTGCTATGTAGACAAATATTTAGAGCCAAATCTGCCCTTGTAATAATGATGCCTTTAATAAAAACCAAAAGAATGACACTTCTGCTTAGATATTTGGTGGTGAAATATTGATGAATCGTATTTATTTTGTTGAAAAAAAAGATTGGATTGATTGAAATTTATCAAATCAACGACGTGGATCCTATTTTAGACCATATAGGGAACAATTTTGTTTGTATATTATATTAGGAGAAGCGGGGGCAGAACGAGCTTTATTTTTTAGGGTGGGCAAAATTACCATTTTTTTAAGTATTAGGCAAAAATATATAGTGAGGGACAAAATTACTAAATTTTCTGAGGTACATAATTTTTTTTTTAAATTTTATTATTTATATAGAGAAATCTCAAATTCGCAATTGCCCATCTTGGACATAGCTTAGTTCCACGTCCACCCTGGACATAATAGCTTGGTTCCACCCATGAGGAAGAGCATATATTATGTTATATCAACATATTTAATATTAGTTTTGTTGATGTATATGTTAACCTTCTTGAGTTTTGTTGATGTATATGTTAACCTTCTTGGCTGGATTTAGGTCTTATAGGTAGTTATATGACACTGTTGTGCCTCATTTTGCAATCTCTAATTCTGTGTCCATGTTCTCTTAATAACGAAACTTAATATGCGCAAAACATAGGATAAAAATAAAACTAAATAACTGCAATAAAGATAATTGCATCTCTAGTTTTTTGGTTTTGCTTACTTAGATAGCTTCAATAATTGTTTTTTTTTTAAAATTGCATTTCTCAGTCAAATTTATTGGACCTATCTACTCCATCTATTTTGTTTCACATTAGAAGTTAAAAATTTCTCCAGTGAAGATGACCTTTATCCTCTTCTGCGCTGATTCAGTATGTTTTCTACAGATGAATTGTATTATTCAGGATGTTCAATTCACTGATCTGCAACGCTTCAAGCAGTTTGTTTCTCAAAGCAAAGCTAGAATGGAGGTACATAGTTTTATCCATACCAATCAATTCCTATGTATTTACATATCTAACACCTAAACTTCAATTTTTACCGATATTCCGCCTTACCTATGCATGAAAAGGTGTATTTCACTATTTAAAAGTTAAAATAATGGCATTTTTTTAGTGATATGAAAGAGTTGGGCGGTACACATGTAAAAAGTAAAGTTTAGGTGTTAGGCATGTGATTACATAAGAATTAGTAGGTATGTATGCCAATGCCCATGTTTTTTTCTTTCATCTGATTTTTGTAGGTTCCTAGTTTAGGTTTCCTTATTATGCTTATTCTCAGAGCCGAGTAAGAGGTAGCGGACATGGGATTGCAGCTGCGAGAATGGATGCTAAACTAAATGTCGCGGGATGGATTTCTGAACAGATGGGTGGTATTAGGTTTGTTTCCTTTTAGCTTATTCAACATATCTTCTCCTTTTGGTTTGTTTTCGAGCAAAGTGTCAAAATAGTCCCTTGACTAGTTATGTGGGGCCAGTTTAGTCATAGAGTTCATATAGCAACAACAACAACAATAAGCCTTTATCCCACTAAGTGTGGTCGGCTAGATGAATCCTTTCTCTCCATTGTGTCCTATAAGAAGTCATATTTTCATTTAATTCTGATAGATTAAGATCATTTTTATACAATATGTCCAAGTCTTTTTGAGTCTACCTTTGCATAAGTCCAATCTAAAACATCCACTCTCTTAACTAGGTCATTAGATGGTCGACGTTTAATGCGACCAAACCATCTATGAAGACTCCCACTAATCTTGTCTGCCATTAAGGCTACACCAACCTAAGCATTTTCAACCTATTCATTTCACATTTTGTCTCCAAGTGTCTAGCCACTCATCCACCTAAGCATTCTCATCTCAGTAACACTTAACTTTGTTTATGTTTTTCTTTTAAAGGCCAACATTCTGCGCCATAAAGAATTGCAAGTTTCACCATTTTCTTATAAAAATTTCCTCAGTCTAAGTGACACTTTTCTATCACACAATAGGCCCGATGCATTTCTCCATTTCAACCAACCAATTTTAAGTTCTACTAATAACATCTCAATTTATATCACTGTCACTTTGAATGATAGACCTGAGATATCTAAAACGTTCACACCTTTTAATGATTTGATCACCCATAGTTACAACTCGACCACTAAAACTACTACTACTAAAGTTACATTCTTTGTACTCAGTTTTAGGTCTAAAGTTACATTCTTTGTACTCAGTTTAAGGTCTACTCATACAAAGGCCTTTAGATTCCAATGTAAACCTCCATAATTCGAGTTTTTTGCAAACTCCTCTAATCTTATCCACAAGAAGGATATAATCAGCGGAAAGCATGCACCAAGGAATTGACACTTTTATAGACTCTAGGACTAAAATGGCTCACTACAAGGAATAAGGGAACCATTTTGACGCTTTACTCATTTATTTTTAGCTCTAGTTTGTTGTGCCCTTTGCACAATACATACCGTTGTTTCATCGAACTACTATGTAAACAGATCAGTGCCAGATAATTCAGTTAGTTTTTTCATTTCTAATGTGTTGTGTCGCACCCTTGTGCGATGTAGTTTCAGAAGAAAGAATGACGTGGAATGAGTATTGTAGTTTTGTGATTTAACTCGGTCAACATCTTCAGATGAACATGCTGTGCCTAAATGTTTTCATTTTTCTCATATTAACCCTACAACTAAGTTTCAGTGTTGGTTTTGACAAGGTGAAACTTTACTGCTGCCACTATTAGTTCTCCTAAATTTTAAGTTTTGCATGGGAGAGTTTATTTTGTTAAACATAATAGTTTTGAATAAATTATTGATGCTTTGTTTTAACTCTAGTTTCTTAACCGCATGCTGTCATACAGTTACCTAAATTTCTTAGAAGACCTTGAAAAAAGGCTTGATCAGAATTGGGATGAAATATCTTCATCGCTTGAGGAAATCCGTAAATCCATCTTTTCTAGGAAAGGCTGCCTTGTTAACATGACAGCTGACGAGAAAAACCTTAATCACTCAACAAAATTTGTCACTAAGTTTCTTGATTTGCTCCCGAGCTCGGCATCTGCTGAATCCGACCCCTTGCGAAACCAGCTTCCTCCGGTCAATGAAGCCATTGTTATTCCTACACAGGTGTAGACGATTTTCTACTAGCTAGTTTTTTTTGTTTTATCCTGGAAGATTTACATACATACCACTCACTTCTATGTTTTTACATATCTAACAACTAAATTTCAAGTTTTACATATACATCACCTTTCCTGTGATGAAATGGCTTATTTAAATGGTGGTGTTTTTTACTCAATACAAAAGATTGGGTGGTATAAATGTGAAAGCAAACTTTAGGTGTTATGTAAATACATATGAATTGGGTGGTACATATATAAATTCCCCTTTTATCTTTATATGTCTTCAACTTGTTTTCCTGGCATGAATCATAGTTTCTTTCGAAATCTTTGACATCGATCCTTCCATGTTCGTAGGTTAATTATGTTGGGAAAGCTGGTGATATTTATGAAGCAGGGTATCAGCTCAATGGAAGCGCATATGTAATTTCAAAATACATTGGGAATACCTGGTTATGGGATCGTGTACGTGTTAGTGGTGGTGCTTATGGTGGCTTTTGTGACTTCGACACTCATTCAGGTGCTTTGTTTGCCCATTGTCTTCCCATCCTTTACTCTTTTAATATGGGTTGAAATAGTTCACTGTAAAAATTATTTTAGTCCCCATTAAAATAATATTAGAACCAATTTGACACTTTTATAAACTCTAGGATTAAAATGACTCCCATCTAAATAGTCAGTGGACTAATTTTACACTTTACTCCTTACAGTTTCATGTATTGTTACACGTGTAGAAAGTGCTGCATTAGGAGTAAATTAATTTCCATTGATCCACTAAATGATTTCTATACACTATTGATCTATGAGTGAACTGGTTTCCACTGTTTCGGTTAATCATTTCTACATTATATATGGCAGGAGTATTCTCCTACTTGTCCTATAGAGATCCAAATTTGTTGAAAACACTAGAGGTGTATGATGGGACCGCTACCTTTCTCAGGGAGCTCGATTTAGACGAAGATTCTCTTACGAAAGCAATTATTGGTACGATTGGAGACGTCGATGCTTACCAGTTGCCGGATGCGAAAGGTTATAGCAGGTTCGTGCCACAATTACATACCGCATGATTGCTCATTATATAAATGAATAATCCATCCTTATATACACAGTGCTCGAAGCATTGCTATTTATGAAACTGTCGCTCATGTGATTTCTTTGAACTATGAAACCTAATGCCGTTACACTTGCCACAATCAAATCATCGAGAATTTGAGGATAAGAAATGGGAAATTTACATATTTAGCATAGAAGTTTTATGTATTTACATTTCTTTCGCCTATACTTTCATATTTACACACATAGCACTTTGGTGTTTTAAATTGATGCATGGGAATGTGTATTTCATTTTTAAAATTTTGATCAACAGTCTACTCCGACATTTGTTGGGCATAACGAACGAGGAACGTGAGATAAGGCGCGAAGAAATTCTATCAACGAGGTTCAGTTTCTTCTTTCTTTCTTTTTTTTTTGTCTTTATTTGGTTAAATCAGAAATTACTGTAAATTCCTAAGCTGTAACCATTCATGTTCAGGTTGAAGGACTTCAAGGAGTTTGCAGATGTTGTTGAAACTGTTAAAAATAAGGGAGTTGTGGTTGTAGTTGCTTCTCCACAAGATGTTGCTGCAGCTAATGAGGAGAAATCTGGCTTCTTTGATGTGAAGAAAGTTTTGTAAGATTCAATACAGTTTTCTGGCTCTATAATTATAATTTTGTTCACAACTAAGGCTTCTAATTTATTTTGTGGTTTGCTATTTAATGTTGTTGATTTAAGTATTGTAATTCATTAATGATTTTGATAAAAAGTATAGTTTCTTCATCTTATGGAAAGCAAAATAAAGAAATTCATTTTTTTTTCACTATGTGAAGTTTAAAGGAAAGGATTTTGCAGGCTACCAAAGTTTATGATTTTAGTGCTTTTATCATGCAATATCTATATCTAATCCAATTAATTGAAAGTTCTATTTGAGATAGCTTTCTACATGTTTTGTATTTCAGACCGCCATAACAGTTCTATTTCGAGAACTATTTTTCTGCTGTTTTTAAAAAATTTGTGTTGTGAAACTTTTTTTTTTCTTCAACATGATATATATATATAATTTGAAGTTTCTAAGTGTTAGACATGTAAGTTTACCTAAAAAGAAAATGGAAGAAACTGGTAGAGATTTATGTGCAGTCCTTCAAGGCTTCAACAGAGGCAACTTAATGCTAAATTTATCTGTGGTTTGAAAGCATTATTTTAAAATTTAATAAGCTGCATCAATACTTGCCCAATATCCTCCACTATTTACATGTCACTCAATTATTATTTATTTATATATCTAAACCCTAAATTTTAATTTTTACATACATGCCTTCTCTCTCTTACATGAAAAGATGTGTTTCACATTTTAAAAATTAAAATAGTAACATATTCATATAAGAAAATAACTGTTTTAAGTGCTATACATGTAAATATGTAAGAAATGGGGACTTCAAAAAAAAAAAAAAAACCTACAAGTCAAGATTAGCTTACAACTAATGTTAATCATTCGACGTATATAAATGTTGTGTCATTTTCTCTCTGTAAGACATTGTTTCTCCTTCCAGCTTCAAAGCCCCATCAAGCCATTTCCATAGAACTGAAGGGAAATTTACATAAATACCTCACAAGTCTTATGTATTTACATATCTAACACTTACATTCATGACACTTTGACATTATAAACCTATGCATGAGTTGCTGATAGTGGCAATTTTTACGGCATGTTAGAGATTTGAATGGTATGCATGTAAATATCAGAGTTCATGTATATCTAACACCCAAACTTCACTTTTTATATATATGCCACCTTAATTAAGCATGAAAATGCATCACATTTTTACGAGATATAAAAGATTTAGGTAGTATAAATGTAAAAAAGAGCACAATTTAAGTGTCAGATATGTAAATACAAAAGAGTTGTGTGGATGCGCCTGTAAATGCCCCACTAAAATATCAAAAATACATTGATAAATCATCCTTCACATCTATCACAACACTGATTTTGAGAGAACAAGAATCACAAGGAAGAATCACAGAAGCTCCAGAAGTCTTTACTGAAAACCCTAATTCCTGAAGCTCAACTGAGCTAATAAAAAAATGATCACCACATCTGCACTGATAGGAGAGCTCCTTCCCATCACCATCAACCTGCACCACCATTTCTCCCAGCTTTATCTCATTATCCACCACTTCTGCTTCATTCCTGGAAGCTTGAAGTAAATCGTCGTAATCTTGTCTTGATTTGGGGTCCGAAAGAACTTCCCATGCCTTCTGAACATTGAGAAATATTTCTTGTCGATTTTTAGTAGGATGAATTGGAACAGGACTGGCACAGAGCTTATCAGGATGGGAGCGGAGGACTGCAATTTTGTAGTTTTCTCGTATTTGATCATAGCTTGCATCTTCATTTACGGATAAGATATCGTAATGGGTTCTTAAAGACTGGTTTTCGACACGAAGCATGGTGGAGGTGGAGGGGGAGGGGGGTTAGTTCTATAATGTTTGTGGAAGGTGATGGAGAGAACTGAGACATGGAGAGAAATAATTAGAGTTAAGTGGTTTAGAAATCAAAATACATAAAAGCCATTTAGAGTATAAAAAAATATATATTAACATATAAAAAATACATTGAAGTTTGCAGTGTAAACATCATCGACATAAAAAGGTTCAATCAGGACACTCTATGGATATAATAGGTTCATCTAACCTAATTGTATTCTGCTAACGCAATAAGCAAATAATCAAACATAGGTGACCTAGCTTCCTTGGAACAATTATTAAAGGTTCTAACATGACAAAATGTTATGTGCATCCCTGAAATGTCTAAAGATAGAGGTGTAACTATCAGGAACCAATATAAGTTAACAGGGGTGGTTATTTATCCACCCAGGGTTTAAAGGTCACTCAGATAAAAGAAAAGATTCGACAATATCGAAAGCGCACACAGTGTAATGTCCTCCGAAAACTAAGAAACTTATCAGAGACAATTGGCCTAACTAAAAAAACCACTGGCATTAACTAATTGGTCGCTCACTCAGTTACAGAAGGAAATTGCCACCAACAAACCCAAATCATCACAACGATGGCATTCTCTTCTGAAGAACCGCATCTCATCTGCCTGCTAAACCTTAATCACTAGCTTAAGAAGCAATCTACATGAATTCGTTGAAGTTCTAAATATAATGTACGCATATCTGTAATGATCCAATCATGTATTTTGATTTTATTTATTCCTTAAAAAGTTCATGGGTTGTCTTCCTTAAAATGTCCAAAATCCTATAAATCAAAAGGCTATTTATGGCATTCTCTCTTTTAGGTGTTTGGAGATTAATAGTAAAAAATCTTCAAAGCCTTCTTCAATCACTCTATTTGCCTCTTTCTTCTTCTTCTTCTTCATCTTCTTCTTCAATCTTCCCCTCTATTTCTTGAGAAATGAAGCCTTCGAGCTAGTAGGTTTTGGCAACGCTACAGGCAAATATTGATCCAGCGATATACATGATTTTCTACGCAAGTAAAATGAATTTTCATACTGCAGTGCACTAAGACTTGCTCGTATGGCAAAAATCACTAAAAGTAATCTTCTCAAGATGAAAGAACATTTATCAAAATAGCTAATATAAACAACCACAGATGCAAGATTCTACTTCATATGTAGGACTTAAAATTTGTTATAGAGTAAATCTAAAAATCCACAAAATAACCGATGAAACACTAACAGCAACATCAACTATTTCACTGAAACTCAATGAGCGAAAAAACAAGATAAATACATGCTTACTATTGGCAACCCATGTCAATCAAGTAATACAATAAATTGCTGATTAAACAAATGATGTTTTAACACAGGGGGACTAGAATCAATAAAAGAAGTCCCGAGGGGATCCAATAAATATTTGAGGTGTCTCGTGATACCCGGAATTTAATATAGTAAGAGGTAATAAATTGGATAAATATATGACAATCATAGGCGAATTAATGCACTCACAACATAAGCACACCACAGCAAGAGAAGGAAGCTCCAATTTGTCTCCTAGTCATTAGGGAAATAATAAGTATGCATTCCTACTTCAAAATAGTAGTATATTTACATAAAACATTTCTAATCCTAAAATAAGAATCAAACATTAGACATATTGATGGAAATATTTGATTTTGGACTGTCGCAAACACTGATTTTGTATCGTTCGGCAAGCAAATTAGCAATATGAAAAGTTATGGTTTGTTTTTCTTTTTTAGTAGTTTTTGTTTCAGTTTAGCATTTAAATATAAACGTGATTATGTGGTCAACGAGTATATGATGCATTCTCTACTATTCTGATTCACTAAATTTGTTTGGTTTAGTGGATTTAAAATAATGTTCTGAAATTCTCCTGATTCAATCACTAGTTCTCATTTTTTGATATAGAATTAGTTCAATCATTGGTTCAAGTCCGGTGCATGAGTTTTGGTGATATAATTTTAGGATGAAAACATGGGAGTTTCTTTGTTAATCATGTGTTGTAATTTGTATCTTTTAAAAGTTTTCTTTGAATTGCTTTATTTGCATATAATGCTAGTTTCATGCATGTTGAGATATGTTAATTTTACGAGTTCTGTTTACTATTGTACCATCAATTTTATGGATATATCTTCAAGCACTTTCTCCTGAATAGATGATAGCTGACCTCTTACATGATCTAGTACCCATGAAAAGTCAAAAAAATCGATCATGTGAAAATTTCTATGATTATAACTAAGGAATTTTGAGACAGTTTAAGAAAAATTTGGTTTGATAAATTCAAATTCAGTTCATCCTTGGTATGCTTGTTAGATTTGTAGTTCTTTGATGGCATTGCAAGAGTGAATGTCTATTTTTTAGCTAAATGGGGTCCTTGTAATAACATAAAGCCTGATTATTTCCACTTGCTAAATTCTGTACTTCTTCTCTTCAAAATAATTTGGTATTATTGTAGTGAATCTGCCTTAATTTAGTTAAATATGATTAATCTAAGTTCATTTTTTAACGTGAAACTTAGTGCCCGTTTAGAGTAGCTTATTAGGTGCGGTGAGTTTTGAAAACGCCCGAAGGACCATTTGGTTGTTGCATTCGATCTGCTTAATCGAATAAGCCGTCTGTAGTTTATTAATAAACAAGGCCGTGGGATATACCCCGCGGCCCGCATTTTTTTGTAGGCATATTACTCGCGTGCCATTTTGACCTTCAACCACATTTTCTGCCCTAGGTGTCCACCCCCCCCCCCCCTCCTCACTCGCGCTTAACGTCGCATTTCACTTCTTCTTGCTGCCTCTGATCTCTGGTTAATATGCTCTATATATAATTTTCGATGGAATGCCTTTCAATATGCGATTTCTGGCATTTTTTCGATGGAGCGGTATTCTTTATGTGATTTCTCAATGGAATGGATTTTTTTGTGCGATTTTTCGATTTTTTGATAGAATTTGGAGTGTGGATGAAACTGTGAGCTTGATTTGGAATAGGATAATGGATTACAGAGGGTGCTCATTTGTAGACAGCAAGTTTTCGGTGTCTTGTATGTAAGTGCCTCAAATAAAAAATATGGGATGTGGTTTCATCAATTCATTTGTTGTTTGAGTGACCATTTGTAAAATGGAGGTAAGGGTGGCTTGTTTGCAATTGCATCTATTCAATACTACAAAGTTTTTTTCTTTTATGTTAGAGCTATGAATTGAAAAATGGATGAAAGATACTGCCTCACTTGAAGATGGCAATGTTTCAGGTGTTGTGTATGTATATATTGCTTCATTAAGGTTTGGGTGTGGTGCTTCCTTGATGTATAGCTGTGTTGTGGTTTGGGGTTATGATTGGGCGTTGTGTGCTGGTATAGAAGTGTGTGTGGTGGTTTGGGGCTGTGGCTGAGTTTTATTTGCTGGTGGGTGCAATGTGTGCTTTGGGGTTGTTGGGGTGCCCTGTATTTAATTGCCTCATATGAGATGTGGGTTGTGAGTTGTGGTGCTTCATTGAGGTTTGGGTGTGGTGCTTCACCGAATCATAGCAGTGTGGGGCTGTGTGTGTTGTGGGTGTTTCATTGAGGGTTGAGCTGCGGGATGGCTGTGTTGTGGGTGCTTCATTAGTTTATGACAGTGTTGAGGATGCCCTGTATTGAATTGCCACAAATTAGGTGTGGGCTATGGCGCTTCTTTGAGGTTTGGGTGTGGTGCTTCATTGATGCACAACAATGTGGGGGTTGCGTGTGTTGTGAGTGTTTCATTGAGGTTTGGGCTGTGGAATGTGTGTTGACGTCAAGTCAGACACATAATTATGAGAGACAGTTCTATAGGTGTCCGTGGAGAATCATAGAGAAGTGTGACTTCTTCCGGTGGACAAACAGTCTGACAGATGTTATTGCCGACAATGATCGGGGTTGGATGGTATCCCTGGAGAACAACGTAGCTCGTGACATATGCTGTATGCATTTTAAAACTAATATTATCAAATTTTTAAATGTAATTTAATAATTTTTTTGTTTTTTAGCAATCTTGATACCTGTTAAGTGATGTGCATATTTTATTTTTTGTACTGTTTTAAAGTGGTTTTCTATTTCTTAAATATCAAATATTTTGTTATGATAGTTCTGCTGTAAACAACATTATTGCACATAGGCAGAATGATCATTTATCCAGAGACAGCTACAAAACAACTGTTTTCTAACAACACAAACCAAATAAACAACCAGCTTATCCAGATTAGCTGTTGCGCGATAACTTATCTGTGGCAGCTGCTGATAAGCAGCTTATTAATAAGTTACAGCTTTCCCAAACAGACCCTTAGTTCATTTGCGGTTCTCTATGGTTTAATTTTTTTGTGGATTTATTTGAGTTGAATTAAACATTAAATTAAAATTTTGCATGAATTTCTTGAATATTTAGATTACATTTAAATGAAGATCATTTTTTTGTGTGGAAATTTACATATGTAGACTCAATTCTAATATATTTGTATATCTTACATCTAAACTTCACAACACTTTACCTATGTATGAAAAGGTGGATTTGACCATTAAAAAATGTAATTAGAGCTATTTTTGATGTCATGAAAGAAGTGGGGGGGCTATGCGTGTAAAAATGGAAATTTTTG